CTTTGTGAGCAGCTATAGTGGAGGAGTTATTGCTGTTGCAGATGGTGTTTCTGGGTAGGGAGACTTATTTAAAAGACCACATTCTTTTAATTTTTTTTTAATGAATTCCTTGTAGGATTTGACGTGTCCATAGTCTTTCAGCTTTGAAAAATCAGAGAAAACTGAGCTTGTAGAATTCTGGCTTTCTTCATGACAAATTTAGCCAAGATTTATTGCATATGATCCAATGATTCACCCAGACTTTCTAATAGATAGAGGCAGATATAGTTAACCGAAGGAGGGATTATTCCTTTAATACGTTCTGCCATTCTTTACTAAGGAAGGAAAACAAAAAGGGATGACGGTTGATCCATCATAGACAAGTGAAACAAGAAGCTCTATGATAATTTTGATTTAGCCGAAGGCTTATTTTAAACTTTTTCCAAGCTAGGCTGCAGACTTATATTCTGTATTTCCTAAATGATTCTTAGTTGTGAACTATTCATGACATAGGAATCCCGGATAGGTAGCTCTATGTGTCTGTTTGGTTAGGAAGAAAATAATGATAGAAAATGAAAGTGATAGAAAGTAAAATGAAAGAAAAGAAAGTATATTTTCTTGCATGTATTTGGTTAGCATGAAATATGTACAAGAATTTTAAATTTTTTTTTTTCTATAGTTTGAAAAGTTGGAAAGTTACAAGAATTTTTTTCTAAATGTCAATATTATCCTTATCTATATTTGAGAGATTTATATCCAATAAATCATTGTGACAATAGATGCCACCCGGAAGTCATTTATCAAGTAAAAATTATAGGATAGTAACAAGTAATAATTTTTGAAATTGATCGATCCTCATAATAGCACATAGATAGAAACCAAATAACAACACACATCCTTTTTTTCCCAGAAGTTTCCCAGCAATATAAGTGAACAATATAAAGAGAGATGAATATATCTCACTGAATTGATAAAATTTTGTGCCAAAATACCTTCAATTAGATGTGTTTTCACTTTTCTATAATGAATAGCATTTATCCCATTGTGAGATATTTTTGGAGGAAAACTCATGAAATAAGGGAGATCTTGTGTGTATATATAATGACCAATGTGGGAGGAAACATGGGTAAAGCGGAAAACCAGATATGCCTTTCTAGTATTTTTCATCATTATCATGCGAAACGAACACCAAAAAAACTGGATTTTTTTCTCTTTTCCGCATTTTTCATCGATCTCTCGCTAACCAAATGAAGCCATATGAAATTCGTGACTACTTTTATACTGGCAGGTGGGCTGAACAAAATGTGAATCCTGCATTATTCTCTCAAGAACTGATCTCTAATGCTTCACACTTAGTTGGAGATGAGGAGGTATCACTACCTTATATGTACCACTGATATGTTTTTTCTGTCCAATAGATTGGTTCAAGCAATTTATCATAGTAAAATCCATTTCAGTTCAAGTCTTCCAACTGTTTGGAGCAATAATTTAGCTTCTATGAGCTTCTGCACATATTGTTAGCTAATACACTTGACGCATGTTACGTAATTTGACAGGTTAACTATGATCCTCGCATTCTTATACGGAAAGCACATGCTGCTACCTCTTCCACAGGTTCAGCTACTGTGTAGGTGTTATAACATGCCCTTCGCTTAGTTTTGAAGGTTGCACACGGACACGCACATGCATTCACTGCCGTTGAGAAATTGAAGTTTGTCTTGTTATAACTACCGATTGTATATTCATATGGTCTCGTAGAATTGTTGCCATGCTGGAGAGGAATGGAATTTTGAAGATTGCCAATGTTGGGGATTGTGGACTACGGGTTGTTCGCAAAGGTAAAACCAAAGGGCTTATGTTTGTCCAACTTTTATCCTTTATTACCAGCATATCCTTTATTACTTTTCCTTATTAGTTAAGTAATGGCATGCCTTGGTTAACTATTGAGCTTGTAGGTCAAATAATATTTTCCTCGACTCCACAAGAACATTATTTTGACTGTCCCTACCAGCTGAGCTCAGAGGTGGTTGGTCAAACATACCTAGATGCTAAGGTATGAGGATTCATATTTCTAGCAGCCTTCAACTTATGAATTTTTGTTTTATTGCCACAATTATAATAGATGGTCTCCATTTCATTGGGTACCTGGTATGCAAAAGGTGGTGGTATTATATCGAATGGTACTTTTATAGTGATACATATAAGGCAAGTAAATCGTTAGGTCTGTTGTAAATATCCCCTTTTTTCACTCGTGTCTCTATCGTGTAATAGGGTATGTTACCAATAATTGTGCTCGTAAAATCTTATTTGAAATGAAACCATGTAATGCCCTTGCTAGCTAGTGTGTTTAATGAATTTCCATACTTGGAACTTTTTATTTTGGTAAGCCTGCTCAATCTTCTGCAGGTGCGTGTGTATGTGTCAATTGCTGGCCACATTTGTCCCCAGTACTCAGACTCCACTCTTCATAGACACTTGGCATATATGTATCTTAGCAAATATACGGAGACTTGGTGATTAGTGGCAAGTAGTGTCCCTTGGACCAAATTATGTCTTTCAAGAACATTCAGAGTGTTCGTTGGACGTGCATAAACAAATTAAGCCATTTATGCTACGTGTAAGTCTACTAAGTAAGAGTGTCTGGTCTTGGTTGGCTAGGTTGGGACTAATGCTATGCTTCCCAAATATTTGTTCCATATCCTCGATACAAAATGAGGTATCACAATCATTACCGTTAAGTATTTATGGTACCCACTTATCTTCTGGTGGTCAATATGCCACCTCATTTGGTAAGCCCATCGTTGCACATATTTCAGTTTCTTGATTGAAATGCAAAATCCATAAAATTACATATCTACGGTTCATATATATGGCTGCTAGCTAATCTATCCGCACACAGGTTAGCAGCGTGGAATTGATGGAAGGAGACACCATTATAATGGGCTCAGATGGGCTTTTCGATAACGTTTTCGACCATGAAGTTGTTTCAACAGTGGCCAGATACAATAATGTTTCTAATGCTGGTACACATTCCTAGCCAAGTATCTTAGCGTTTGAAATGGGTAGACGTCTGGCTTATTTTTCTAACTAAGATTTGGTTTCAATGGTAGCAAAGGCATTAGCTAATTTGGCTCATAACCATTCAATTGATTCCAACTTTGATTCCCCCTATTCACTGGAGGCCAGAGCCCAGGTAAAAATATTTTTTTGACGACTAACTCACTCTGTATATGTATCTATTTATCGGCTGTGAAACTAACACGCCCAGCATCTTGATGAACAGGGTTATGACGTTCCATGGTGGAAGAAAATTCTAGGCAAGAAGTTAACAGGCATGACTAATGGAGTTTACTATAAATGCTTTTTCCCTTTTACTTTTTTGTTTATACCAGTGCTTAACTCGAGGGTTTCGTTTTTTCTCCCCTTTCCTTGGAACAGGTGGAAAGCTAGACGATATTACAGTGATTGTTGGGCAGGTGATAAGTTCATAAAATATTTATACCTTTTGGATTATGGCCATTGTGACACAGTTGAGAAATCTTTTGCTGGGCAGCTGCAAAATTTTTTTTCTTTAAAATTCAGTGTACTATAAACAATGTGTTAAGAGGCAATGTCTTCAGGTACCAGACTCAATAGCAATGTGTTCCTGAAGGGCCACTTTTGTGCTTTGCTGAGCGACCCAATGTACTTTCATCTGATGGACAAAATGCTGCTGAAAGTTGATGTGAATTATTCTTTGCACCTTAGCAATAATAAAATATGTTTATAGGCAATGCACTTTAGATAGAAGAAAAGCTGGTTGAATACACAGCCATGAGAAGAGCAATATTGGTTCCTAATGGAATAAGAACGCAAATTTGCACAATCTAAATGTATTTGACAGTATCTTCTTTACGTAAGAACAGTACACGAGTCCAATACAAATTAACCCAACCAAACCAATGCCTGAAAACAAAAATCCTTCACAAAATCAAGATGAATATAATCTTTTCGGGGAAAATGCAGAAGCACACTAGAACAAGGGAGATAATAAACATGTAAGCTATGATGGTCAAGCAAAAGAGAGTATATGAGTTTTTTCTCCACTAAGTTGAGACCCCAATGTTTTCTGTCATGGATATTGTTTATCAGCCCCGACTACGAAAAACTTAGTCAGCATCATATCATCATAATCCTAAATACCCATCAGACAAAAATGGAGTGTCACATAACAATATATAAATCAGCATGAGACGAGTAACATTCAGCAACAAGATTATCTTATATCTGGCAACGTTTTTAGAGTACATATTAAACTCAGTGGGTAATTATAATGATCAATATCTAGTCCTGAAGCAATCAGTAAATGATTAAAATTTGTGTTTAAAATACCTCTACATCTTCATGAAACCTCTAGACGACATGCCTTTAACAGGAGGAAAAGTCTGAAAGGATATCAGGGAACCCAGGACAACAAAGGAGATGGGTGACAGAACTCCTATCATCTCTACTAATAAACTTATTAGGACTGACAACAGTTTGTACAACACAAATAAATAAATTCCAATCCGCGTGATATGTTTGCTCACTGACCCGTATTACACAGACCATCAATCTGCCAAAAAGATGCTTGTTTACCATGCTCGCTAGTCAAACTTCCTGTTCTCATTTGGATAGAGGTATCCAACCAATACAAGTCAAAAACAGACCTTACTCTTCATGGTCTCTCAGGTGTCATTGCTATTGTTGCTACCACTATCTATTTCTTGGAAGAAGGATTTTCCAGCTTCATAAGTTGACCAACAAATTGCAGCAGCAGGAGCATGGAAGAGCATCCTTGGTAACCACCCCCTCACAAGCCCCCTGTATCCATCTTTCTTTACTATTGTCCGAAGAACATCCCTAATCGAACCAGTTATGTATCTGTCACATCCACATACACCCTGCATGATAATGAGTTATATAGAGGGTATCTAATACAGTGAAAACAATCGACGGTTTGGGCCATTGCCTCGGTGTAGTGATAAAAGTGTTAAGACTACCAATCATAAGATTGAGATTTTCAATTTAAGGGCAGCCATTTTGTAGAAATATTTCCCAAATTAGGCAATACTCAGTTCACCCTCCCAGGAACATCACTAAAGCCAAAACATAACCAAGTCAATTACATTAAGTATCCAAAGATCAAAGCAAATATATTATCCTCGAAGACCAGGGGTACACCCAACAAGTCCATCATTTAGTCTCTTGTGGAAGCTCTTGTCAACAATAATTTACTTCAATGAAGGCCACACAAAATTATCCACCAATTCAAAGAAACAAAGTTCATAACTAACTTACCAATACATCTCACACCATAACGAAGTCGGTCATCCATTATCAGCAATTGGATGGGCTTATAGATGGTTTGTATTGCCTCTACTAAGTCTCAATAATTCATTTAGATTTGATAGCTTTTCCTGAGCATTTAACTAGCAGAACCGATTGGAGCCACAAACAAATTTTAAAATTTGATTTAGAACAAAAAACAATCCACTTGAAACAACCAGGATTCTATTTCAAACAGTAATTAGAGCTTGAAAATAGACGCCATAACAATGTATCATTTAAGGGGGATCAACAACAATAGAAAGCCAGCTAAAGGAGCACGTAATGCATATTCCGAACTCAACTGTCAAATTGCGCACTATATATGGTTAGCAAAAGGTGATGAAATTGTACCTGGCACTGTAACTGAGTCTTAACCACATCCAGTGGCGTAGTCACGGCAGCAGCCAACGCCCCAGCGGCAGCCCCAGCCGTAGCATGAACCACCAACCTTTCATCACTGGCACTCTCTGGCGACACCTCCATCAACCCTCTCTTGACCGCCTCGTACGTCGTGAAATGCGCCGCCGTAAACGGTGCATTCATAAGAACCGTGGTCTTATAAGACGCATAAAACCCCTTAATTCCCTCCTCCCTTAGAATCCTCCTCACACAATCCAACACCCCTCTGTACGGACTACTACTCAATTGCAACCTCTGCTTCGCCACGTCCATGGGCGTAAACACGGCATCGCTCGCCACCGTGGCAAACACCCCCGACAACGCGTGCGCCACTGGATTATTCGGATTCCCACCGGAAAATGTCTTCTTACAAACCTCATAAACGGAAAAGTATACAGCGTGGGCAGGTCCGGCACCGAGTGCCATGGCACCGATACCTCGATAAAGTCCGGCGGGGCCTTCGCTCTTTAAGATCGATTGGACTGCTTCACGAATGCCAACGGATTTAATAGGGCAAGAGCCTAGGGCTTGCATGCGGGTCTTGATGGTGTCGACTGGGAACATCGCCGTGTGTTCGACCATGCCGGCGATGGAACCGGCGATCATGAATTGCCAGAAGTGGAGACCATCGTGGGCCGGAGATACGGTGATTTCCGGGAGGTAATCGGGCGGTTGCGGGATCGGCAAGAGGTCTGATTTCTGGAATTTGGGAGATGCGTCTGTGGCCATGGAAAGAGAAGAAGGGAGAGGAGTTAGGGTTTTGATATGGCGGTGTTCGGGTACGGGTAGGGGTTGCCGCCATAAAAAGATTAGCAGATATATAGAAATCGAGACATGTAATGGCTAGAGAGAGAGAGAGATGAAGTTTACGACTGGTCAAAGGAGGCAAGGGTTAGAGAAGCTTCCGTGAGGAAATTTTTTCTTTAGGGTTCCAAAAATCATTGGGTTTAACAGTAATATCTTGCAGGCTGTTTTTTGTTAGGAGTAATGCTGCTGACCAAAAAGGAGGATACACATAGGAGAAAACTGTTTTTTTAGTCCAACAGTTAGGCTGCGTAAATCAACTTACACCCACCTCAATTAATCTATTTTTTGATCCGACACTTATTCATGCCGAAACTCTAATATTCATAAAAAATAAATTTTTTATAATCTATAATGGTGATACTAATTATTATTATTACGTAATATCATTGTCTAATACTAAATCTAACTTACACTAAATAAATTTGATACCATAAATTCTTATAAATTAGCATGAATAATAAATAATTTTACTTAGTATCATATATAAATAACCCAATTTTCATAGAATAATTTTGTTTAAACCAAATTTCAACAAGAAAATTTATAATTTTTATTTCCTAAATCTTAAATTGTTAGAGAATTTGTAATTTGAATATTTTGAATATTTGTGTGTCATACAATTTATGATTCATTTAACTATACAAATACATAGGAATATGAGCCCATTTGAACATAATTTTTGTCATATCTCCCATTATTTTAATGGTATATGGTGATTACATATTATTGAAAAAAATCAAAAATTATTTTGGAGGGAAGATCTAAATCACCCCAAGAATGATCAATTGTTACAAGAAAATAAAAACAATATCGTTTTCTCACGATTCACATTGCAGCTTAGGTTGTTGAAGGATTTAGCTTTAAAAGTGATCTAAGCTTGAATCGGTGGTGCTTGAAACGGTAGCAGTCCCATAAAGCTCTGCTCAGCCGTAGGAGGAAATCTATCAAAAACCTATGACTTAAGCATTTTAGGAGTAGTATTATATGTAATTTTAAGTTAAGAATTAGTGTTGCAGTTAAAATTGATTCATTAGCGCTTTAAAACCAAAGTTTCAATTAAGATTAATAAAAATGTTATCCCTTTTGTTGATTTTTGTGGTGAATTTTCTTGTTTCAAACTCTGTCGATAAATTTCATCCAAAGAAATCTTGAAATAACAATCGTCTCAAACAAACACCCGTCAGTCATTAGAAAAAATCCTTTTCCCCACGAACAACACCACAAAAAAAAAAAAGAATAAATTGCAATGAACAAAGCATGTACCTGGTAATGCATAATTTGATAAACACAGAGATTCATTTTTTAATTGTTAGCAGTTAGATAAATCCCAGACCAGTTCAGTTCATCTAAATAGGATACATTTTGATAGCATTTGAATACTACATCAGTACCATATTCTAAAGATCTTACAAACTCAAGCAGAATAGAGTTTCTTTGAGAACTTGAAGCCATACAGGCTTGAGATGGTCAAATAAGGAACAGATACGCGAAACTGGTTACTGTATGTGGGCACTATAACATGTCCTTCATGAAAGCATCAATGTTGGTCTCAGCAGATCCTCCTTTTCCAACAGCTCGTCGACAAATCTCTTGAATCTCTTTTGCTCTTCCCCTCATTTCTTTTCCCTCCTCACTTTCTAAGTCCATAAACCTCTGCACAAGTCCAGCAATTTCTTCCCTTCTAATCAATGTGTCAACACCTCCCCCCTCACGCTTCACACTCCAACCCATCTTCCAGTTTTCCACAATCATCTTGCTGTTTGAGATTTGATCGAAAACTATGGGGTAAGCAAGCATCGGAAGGCCAGCAAACGCGCCTTCTTTCGTGGAATTCCACCCACAATGTGACCAAAATCCACCTATAGAAGAATGGCATAACACCTTCAATTGGTCACACCATGGCACCACAAACCCACCACCTCCCTTTTCAAACAGAGAAGTTTCTCCTCGTGCTACCCATAAGTACCGAACACCACTGTCTTGAACCCCAGCAACTATCTCATCCAATTGAGAACTCGAGAGAGAAATAAAGCTTCCTTGTGCGATATACAAGACTGAACATCTAGGTTGGGCATTTAACCATTTCATATAGTCTGGGACATTGTGACCAGTGATGGGAATGGAATTGTCTATATAAGTGAAGCAAGGTATAGCAGGACCAATGGAGTAGATGGCGATAGGGAGTTCTGCTTTTAAAGTGTCAATGACTTGGTACTCAAGCTCATAGATTGAAGCCAACAGAAGATACTGTGCTTTTGGCACCAATACAATGCCTTCCAACAGGAGATGTGCAACTTTTTGGCCTTCGCCAAGATCGGCAGTGGGTATAGAAGGAACTCCAGGGAAGTTGTCTACCTGATCCTTTCCCCGCTCTGTATGTGACCAAATGCACAGGTGAAAACACACACAATGTCTGTCAGCATTTTGCTTTTGGGGTACATAACACAGAAAGAAAGACACAATAGACTTAAAATGAATCAATCACTCATGTTCTTCGTGGTTCCTTTCTATAAACTATACTCGGACGCAGAAGAGGTAAAGAAGACTCAAGGATGAAAATATCGTGTTGAAATGGCCAAAATCTTTTCATTTCTAAAGAGGTTAAAACGAATCATTGATTGATTGAATTAAAATTTTAATACTTTGAAATATTTCAGAATATTTTGAGTTTTTTCTAGATGTTTCCATATGTTATCATAAATGATTTGGAATGTTTTGAATTTTTTCGATATGTTTCAATATGTTTTTACTAATGTTTTGAAATGTTTAAAGATCTTTAACTATATTTAGACGAATACTTTAAAAATAAATCTCTAAATTTTTATTCATTTTTATTATATTTCCAAAATATTTTTGAAACACTTTGATTGTGATCCTTGAGAAGACCATGCCAAGAACTTTGTACGAAACAGATCGCTAGTATAATTATACAATTAGAGAATATGGAACCATTTTAGGGATTTTTAATGTATTACAAGTAACATTTTTGAAATTGATTAAATTCTCTTGCACTACTCAATGGTAGTCAAATAATACGCACCTGACACATTAGCCTTGACATGCCCATTCCGAATGAGATCATGATGACACGACGTAGAGAACACCATCGCTGACATCGTCCAAAGCGCAGCCACCGGAATATTTCTCCGATACCCAAGCCGCACCACCCAAGCCAACACCGTATCATATATTACAACACTCGGCTTCGGTGGCTCAAGCCGATCCAATAGCCGCTCGACCGGAGCTTCCAACTTCGTCAACGTAGCTTCCAAGAAGCCAGGGAAGTCGGCGTCGCGAACCAGCTCCGACGGAATGACATTGGGGATTGTGCCGAAGCGTAAGTTAGCTGGCTTGGTCTCGGAGCCGAGGAATCCGAGCCACTCTTCGGTGACGATGAAGGTTATGAGAATGTCTGCTCGGCGTGAGGCCATGAGCTTGCAGAGGTTCATCATTGGGTTGATGTGGCCTCTTCCAGGGTATGGGATGGCCACCACGTGGTAGTTGATGGTTGGGTCCATTGTAATCGACGGCACAGAGATTTCTAAGGAAAGACGAAAGTGGAGAAGAAGATGAGCACTGTGGTGAAGAGGACTGGTCAGTTGGCTATGGCGGATGAGTCAAAGTTGGGGTTAGTGGATTTTACACAATAATAATTTTATTTATATTTAATATTAAATTTTGTCTGGAATCTTATATATTAAAACTTATGATTAATTCAATGATTATAATATGTTCGAAAAATTTCAATTACACCCTTTTTATTATCAAAAGTATTACGGACACATCTCTTAATTTATATTTAAATGTTAATGACACTCTATGTCATTAAATCACAATTTATAACAAAAATAAATTATTTAAAATACTAAAATTGTTCCTACATAAGCTCAAAATATTTTTTTTACATAAAATTTGATTATGATTCAAACCGATTAAAATTTATTTTTCTACGTATTAAAAATTGAGTGAATTAAAATTTAATTGGAGCTGATTAAATTTTAATTTTTTTACGTATTAAAATTTTAACCTATTAAAAATCTTTTATGTATTAAAATTTGAGCTAATTTGAGTTCTACTTGAGTTATTAGTCCCGATTAAAATTTATATTTTTTTTTATTTATTAAAATACAATTCAAGGTTTTTAAAATTTATTTTTTACATACTAAAATTTATATTTTTTTATGTATAAAAAATTGGAGCAATTAAAATTTAATGCGAGTTGATTAAAATTTAATTTGAGTCTCAAATAGAATTTTAATCGACTAAAATTTTAATACGTAAAAAAATTATAATTTTAAATCAACTTAAATTTTAATATATAAAATAATTAAATTTTAATTGATCTAAATTTTAATACATACAAAAATTTAAAAAATAGAGCAGATCTTATTAAAGATATGACTATCGAGAGGAGGTGTAGATGAAATTTTTCCTAAAATATATCATGAATAATTTAATTAAATTATATTTTAATTAACATCTTTACTCTGACAGAAAGTGTCATTGAAGATTTAAAAAATTAAAAGGGTATCTTTAAAAATATGATAAATTAAAATAGGTGTCAATGAAATTTTTCTTAATAAATTAATAAGTCTCTCTGTAAAAAAAAATTAAAAAAAATAAATAAATGTTTATACTAATACGAATTCGACGTCAAAATTCTTATTACAATTTTAATTGTGGAGTCATTCAAATGTGTCATGTCATCATGTAAGTTCACCGATTATAGTATTGACATTTTTCAATATAAAAAAATCAATTCAAAGGATAATTTTTTGTTTGAATTACTTGTAGTTAATATTAATTAAAAAATAATAAATAAAATAAAATAATATATTTTGGCCCTTCGAAGATTTTAAAATTTTCCAAAAATATTAAAGAGATTTAGAGATTGTTTATAAAGTACAACTTTTAAAATCTTGAAGGAACCAAGATACCATTAATCCACCTACCCAAAAAAAAAAAAAAAAGATACTACCATTAATCCATTAAAAAGGCTATGAGCCCCTTACCATGAGTCCATGACACCTAGAAAACCAGGCGACCAATCATTCTTTAAGACATAAAGGGGTTAAACTTGACTTCTGTGTTCCTTCCATGACAATCTTGCATGCGGCAATTATTGGTTTCAGCACCGAAAATAATAGTATAATGATTTTTTTTATTTAATGCGAATCATTCAACTAAATAAGACATTTATATGTACAAAACATATAAAAATAATCTCACACGATATAAAATAATTATTATTTTTAATAAAATGAAAAAAATTAATCAAAACTATTTGAATTATTAGATGTAAAATTTAAATCAATTACATGATTAATAATTTAAAATAGTCTAAAATTTACAAGTTTATACAATATCAAAATTTAGCGATTTATACAAAATATCACAATTTTAATAATTAATAGTTCACATAGTCTAATCAATAGTCGAGAGAATTAAATAAAATAAATATTATAATTTAATGCATAAATTATAGTTTTAAGAATTTAAGTGAATCATAAAATATGATCAAAACATAATTTTAGAAATATAATATATAATTTTACAAAGTTTAGGGGAGCCATGACCCTCTTGAACCATACCATGGCTCCGCCCCTGGTCACTAGGTTTGAAAGTTTTGTTCTTAGAATCCAATCAAAGTCCTGTCACATAACACGTTATTATATCATAATATTTCTTGCATTTGGAAAAAAAAAAAGGAGAAATGCTTTGCTTCCTAAATTTGCAGCCCACATCAACAAGAATGGTTGGAAGATCAATAAATTCCCTAAGAAAAAATTATTGAAACTCACATATCCAACCCTCCTTTTTAGTTTGATATGCAAATTTAGATTGCATTCAGGAAAAAAAAAAAAAAAAAAACCCACCAGGCCAAGTGACAAAATGTTATGATTTTATTTTTTGCCAAAAAAATCCCGGATCCATGGCTCATGTGAATATATATTTTCGTCAAAGCATTATTATGATTACTTTTTGGAGTAAATTTTATTTTGCTCCCTCAAAATACAAAAAATTTTAATTTGTCGTTCAAATGATTGATTTTTCACATTCCTCCTCAAAAAAATAAAAAAATGCTACAATATAGTTAACTATCTTATTTCGTTTGTCTATTACATTTCAAGAAATCCCAACAATAGAATTCAACCCGAAACCAATTAATTTTATGAGAACTTAATGGAATTAGTGAATAAACCTGGCTAATGGCTGTGGCATTGTGAAATGTCCTTGAGGAAAGCATCAATGTTTGTTTCAGCAGATCCTCCTTTTGCAACAGCTTTTCGACAAATCTCCTGAATTTCCTTTGCTCTTCTCCTCATTTCTTTCCCCTCATCACTTTCCAACTCCATAAACCTCTGCACAAGTCCACCATTTCTTCCCTTGTCATCACAGTTTCATCTGCTTCCTCTCTCTTCACTCTCCAACCAATCTTCCAGTCTTCTGTAATCCTCTTACTGTTTGGTATCTGATCCCAAAAAATAGGGAAAGTGAGCACCGGAACGCCACCAAATATGGCCTCTTTAGTTGAATTCCAGCCGCAATGTGACCAAAATCCGCCTACTGAAGAATGGCACAACACCTTCAATTGGTCGCACCAAGGCACTACTAACCCCCTATCACCACCTCCCTCTTTAAACCTCGAGATTTCTCCACGAGCTACCCAAAGGTATCGAACACCACTATCATGAATTCCGGCAACAATTTCATCCAACTGGGCACTAGAAACAGAAAGGAAGCTCCCCTGTGAAATGTACAAGACAGAACCTCTAGGTTGAACATCTAACCATTTCATATAATCGGGCTCACTGTGACCAGTTATTGGAGAGCGATTATCTCCAAATTCAAAGTAGGGTATTGCAGGACCGATAGAGTAGATGGGTAATGAAAATTTTGGTTTTAAAGTGTCAATGACTTGACGTTCAAGCTCGTAGAATGAAGTGAACAGAAGATATTGTGCATTGGGAACACGCGAAATGGCATCCATGGCTCGATACAGAACTTGATCTAAGCCTTTGTCATGGAGCTTCAGGAAAGTTGGAAGATCAGCTATGAGCGTTGAAGCAACTCCAGGTATGTAGTCTATTATCTCCTTTCCTCTTTCTATATGAAATTAGTAAGTACATGCAAATGAGCAAGTGCATATAGCAATTCCAACCCACATAACCCTCAGAAGGACCTCAAATGTATTCTCAATTGACACAGTAAAGTGAAGTAGTTCTATTCAAATTAAATCACACTCAATACATTATTGAACCACCCCTTCAAAGGAATCTAGAAAATAAATACTGCAAAAGTGAGAAACACTAATATGCATTGGATTAAGATCTATGACAAATTTCTAATCTATTTTTATCAACTAGAGATTATTCATTGTGAATTCAACAAAAACTTATCATACATACCTAGCTCCCAAATAGTTTGCCGAGAAAATTTATAAACGGAGGCATTCAAAAAATGGGAGTGATATACTTTTCATCCTCTGAGGAGGAATCATTTCATTCCTCTTTTGTGTTGTGTTTGATAAAAGGAATAGCAAATAAGAATGATCATTTTTTTTGGACAAATAAGAATACGCACCAGACAAATTTGCTGGAACATGCCCATTTTGAACAAGAATATCATAGTGATGAAACATCGAGAAAACCACCGCCGACATAGTCCAAAGCGAAGCCACCGGAATATTCCTACGACTCCCAAGCCCCACCACCCAACCCAAATAAATATCGTATATTATAACACTAGGCTTCGGGGGCTCAAGCTGATCCAATAGCTGCTCCACCGGAGCTTCCATCTCCGTCACCGTAGCTTTCTGGAATCCGGGGAAGTCTTTGGCCCGAACCAGCTCCGACGGAATAACGTTGGGGATTGTGCGAAAGCGTATATTAGCCGGCTTGGAGTCGGAGCTGAGGAAGCCGCGCCACTCTTCAGTGACGATGAATGTGATAACTATGTAGGCTCGGCGTGAGGCTATGAGCTTGCAGAGGTTCATCATGGGGTTGATATGGCCCCTTCCGGGGTAAGGCATCGCCACCACGTGCAATTTTCTGGTTGGATCTACGTCTAAAGAGTCCATTACTGGACAGCACTGAGAAGGAAGAAGAAGGTGAAGAAAGAGGGGTATAGGAGAGAAGAGGAAGGAGGGGGAGGGTGAGGGTGAGGGTGAGGGTGAGGGGATTATCTAAGGTTGGGGTTGGTGAACTGCGCTTAACATCTAGTAGTCAGAAGAAACCACAACGCCATACTTTTGGGATGCCCATGAGCTTTAAATTTTTGTGGTAAATTACACGAAAATCCCCTTTGCTTATTGCTATTTCAATAGATAGCATTGTGGGCATGTTTGTTTGTTAGATTTGGGTGGTATTATAAATTATTTTTATTTCACTCCTTTCTAATGGTATATTATATCTGATCTTAAATTTATATCTTATCCTTCTCCTTTGTTTATTCAATAAGTACTATAGTAAGTCTCATAAACAATTATTTATTATATCACATCTTATATAGCAAATATATTATTTTACCCTTAACATCTTCCATTCTATTTTACTCTTAACCATCTATATAAGAAAAAATTAAAATAATTTTAAAAAAAAATCGATAGCATCGTACGTTTAAATATAATATAAGAAAAAATTCAAAATAATTTTTTTAAAAAAATTTTTTAAAAAAAAAAACAAGTAATACCGTAATCTTAAACATAATACAAGAAAAAAATTCAAAATAATTTTTAAAAAAAAATTAAAAAAAATGGTAATACCATATGCTTAAACATAATACAAAGAAAAATTTTTAAAAAAAATCAGTGACACCGTACGCTTAAATATAATATAGGGAAAAAATTCAAAATAATTTTTTAAAAAAAATTTAAAAAAAAAACCGATGAGACCTTACGTTTAAATATAATATAAAGAAAATTCAAAATAACTTTTTCATACGTGAACTCTTCACATAGGAGGGGCATTTGTGTCATTTTATTCATATATACCGTCATTTCACTTGTATCAGGAAGATAATATCATCTGATAGGTGGTATTGCTTAGTACTATATAAAAGGCATTAAAGTCACTGTTCATACCGAATCGGTACTATGACCCGAAAAATAATACCAAACAAAAAATACCAAATAAATAAAATATAACATAAGTTTCGCGTACTATTTCTCAATTACCATTCATATCCTCGAAGCAAACAGGCCTTGTAAGTTATAAACCTCACTAGAGGTTACTGATTACTCAAGTTTGGAACCCGTTTTGAAAGTTTGACTGTAAAGTCCGAAGTTGACTGTATATCTCTGTGCGTGCTGGATCTTGCACAATATAAACACGAGAACAGATCTCTCTCTTGGTGAACTCGAGTGAGTCAGTCGAGTGGTCAACCCTGCTGCTTGGAATAGCCTGTGAGATCCAGTGATAACCTGGAACGGTAATGCGAGACCCTCATGGATCAATGGAACGATCCAGTAAGGCTGAGGAAGGTTCCTGGAACAAAGAAAGACAAGTTAGAAGGGCGCCGGAGTGTTTTCCGACGTATCTCCTCCGACGATCAAGTCAGTTTTTGAGAGAGAGGAAGAAGAAAACACTGAGTATAATTTGTAGCAAAGGTTTTTTATTGCATACCGTCTTGTCTTTTGCGAGGAGTATTTATACCTCAAAGACTCATGATTGATGTTAGTGTGATCAGTAGGTGATCATTAGATATAGGCAACGTGCACACTGATTTCAATAAGGAATGTCTTCTCTTTTAACTGCTCGGGATCCCGAGCAACCAAGGCTGTGTCATCGGGCTACCGACTGTTCAATGAACTCCTCTCGGGGAGGATGTAATAAATGTCCAGCTTTAGAGACATTTATTACCTTTCACTTCCGAGCCTTACCGCATTAAATACTGTCTCATCAAGGGAATGGTGTAATTAAATGTTTGTTTTCCCAAGTCGTGTGTCAGCAAGGGCATCCGGTCTTTCTGTCTCTGATGTGACACAATATACCACGCGTCCATTCTCCATTGGCTGTGTCCCATGCCATCCTGTGCCTTCTGACACTAATTGTGTAACACGAGATCATGATAGTTAACCTAGCCTAGCCTAGGCTAGTGATCTGTACATCAATAGCCTCTGCAGGAGCAGAGAACGCCATCCTGGACAGAGGGTACATCTCGGTATCGGGGGGAAGGTACATCTCGGAGCCGAGAGAGGAGGTACATATAGTGACCGATGTACCCATATCAGACCGAGGGATACGTGTTGGTACGTAAACGTACTGGATGCACTTGATCCCTATGACAAGTACCTCGGGGGAGAGGGACTTGTGAACCGATGGGTACGTGATCTCAGTAACAAGGATCTAGTGACACTGAGGACACGTGTCTTTATCTTGGAGTATTTTAGAAAATGTTCCATCAACTGCCCCCCAGCCTCGATCTTCTAACATCGAGGACACGCGTCCGTAAGGAGATGAAGGGTTTTACAACAACCCCAATTGCTTCATCATTGCCTCTAGCCATTTTTCGTCCTGCGCATTAAATGCACCTTTTCGTGCTTCGCGCCTAATGATGAGAATGGTACTATATATAAATGGGCTTCCTCTCCTCTTTTCTCATTTCGTCATTCCGAACTTTCTCCAGAGAGCCCTTGCCTGAATCTTCGCCGGAGATCTCTTTCCTTCCGCTGTCAACTGCCCAACTTTTTCACTGAAGTCTTAAGACCAGTAGATCCATCCTTGCTTCTGAACATTCTAGAAAGAGTCGCCTCAAGTTTTCCAGAAAAAACTCCTTTTTACATTCTGGTGAGTACCAGTATCTTTCATCTCTTCGTCCTTCTGTCCCTTTTGGTTTTTCAATAACTGGAGGTGTCTCTGGTTGCCACTCAGCGACCAATCCTCGGGAAGCCTCCTTGGGGATCTTTGAGGGAAAAACACCCTCCTTCAATTTTTATCATTTTTTGGAGATGTCTCGTCGTCGCCCTGCCCCCGAGAATCCTCAGGCCAGTTCTTCGGGGTCAGGGAAGTATAAAGTAAAGGGTGGTGAACAAATTAATAGGTTTAGGGTCAAGTACAACATCCCCAGTACGTAGATATAGAGGATTATAACCCCATTGTGCACTCTCGTACCCTCGGTACCGATGATGCAATGCCCTTTTATACCAAAGTCATCATAGAAGGCAGAATTAGGTTCCCTTTGCCCCCTCTACTTCTCCAGTTCCTCTCCCATTTCCACCTCTTCCCCCGGCAGTGTTGCCTTAATGTCTTCAGGATAATTATGGGAGTCCTAGAGCTCAATAGGCGTCTCGGGGTAAATGTTGGGCTGAACGATATCCTTTTTTGTTATTCCCTCTTGAGAGTCATGTCTCAACAACACTTCTACCTCAAAGTCAGGGACTCATCTATGTACCTCGTAACTCACCTTTCCGACTCGGACAAAGGGTACAAGGATGACCTACTTATCTTCAAGGGATCTTGGCAGAGAGGTGTCGGTCCCGAGTATAACGGCTTGTTATGCCCTTTGAAATGGAGAACGACAAGTACGTCAGTTCATTCGGGTCTATTATTTTGTTATTGAGATTTTCTACGTGTTCATGACTCCTCTCTTTTTATTTGTGTGCAGATGTCCCTGTTCAGGAAACAGCTCCTCCCACTCGGTCGTTGGTGAACTTTGCCGACCTAGTCACAGTTTGGAGATTTACTGGTGACGACGGGTTCGACCGGGCTGCCCACATCCTCCTTTTTTATACTCTCGGATATAAAAAGTTTTCACAGCTTCCCCAGCCTTTCAAGTCTTCGCGGTGGTCTGAACTCTTCGATCAGGCGGTGAGGCAAAAGGGTGAGGAGAACTTGGAGGAAGACCCTGATCGGGCTTTAGAGGCAGAAGTAGAGGGTGAAGTTGAAGAGCTCGGGGTCAGAGAGGACTTGGTTCCTTCGCACGCCGAGGTGGAGACTTTGGGGAGAGATTCGTGGTCGAACTTTCAAATCCTACAATCTCTAGACGTCGAGGACGCCCTTGAGATAGCTATGTCCAGCATGCCCCGCATTGATCTAGGATTCCTGAGGCAGAGGCAAGCCCTTGCTGCCGGGAGGGGATGAGAATCGACCGGTGGGGCCTCATCTGCAGGGACCAGCGCTACCCCATCCTCAAGAGTCGTCAGTCAGGGTCAAGTGCGTGACCGGGATCCTCAGGTAGAGGAGGAGAGGAGGGTTAAACATAGGCACGACGGCCTTGGCAGGGGATCCAGGCCCCCCTCCGCTCAGCAGCAAAGTGGGAGAGGCCGTGGGTTACCTCCCGCTCCTCAGCAACAATAGCAACAACAGCAACAACAGCAGACTCCTCCTCCCCTTCCACAGACAGTGGAAACCGCGGAGTGGAATCCTCGAGTCACTGATCACATGAACCGAGTGATCAGGGTCGACGACTCCATTTTGTAGGACCCTCATGTCACCAATGCAGTGAGTGAGACGCTGTATTTCGAGGCCGACATGGTGGCTCACAGGGGGCGATCAACGAACGTGTTGTTTCGCTCTATCATCCAGAATTCCCTGGTGGTAAGTTCATTTTTGCTTCAATATTTTTTAGCCGCTTTTCTTTTTAGTGACATACCCTTTCCGTTGCAAGCCACCCAACAGATTTCTATAATAGCGGCGCGGTATCATGGGGCTAGGATGGACCTTCAACGGGTTCGAGAGCAGAAGGAAGAAGTCGAGGGAGCCCTCGCCAGTGCTAAGGAGGACGTAGCTGCCAAGGATTCCACCCTCGCGGGACAGACTGCTCAAATCGAGCAACTCCTTAAGGATGTCGAGTTGGCGAATGTTGGCGCTAAAAAGCTAAGTGCTGCCCTTGCCGACGCTGAGAGGAGGATTATAGAGCAGACGCAGCGGCTCTCTGCGGCAGAGAAGAGGGCTGTTGGTTCAGAGGAAAGCTGTCTGGCTCTAACCCAGGAGCTGGACAGGATCAGGGCTGAGGCACAGAACAGAAAGTCCGAGGAGCAACTCCGAGAAGAGTTCGCCGATGACGTGCTCCCCGCTCTTGAGAAAAATAGCAAGGAGTTCTTCAAGAAGAGGTGGGACGAGGCGCTCCAGTCTGCTGGGA